GCTTTAGGCTTTAGAGGGGGGGGGGGGGGGGTACTGTAAGACATGACATGGCCATACGGTTATATGTGGCTATACCATTCTTCACATGTGTCATGAAAAACTGGAAATTATCTTCCGTATTACAAATAAAAATCAAGAACGCAATTGCACAGGACTCACAGGCAATGACGCTATATCAAATGTTCCGTTGAAAACGTCTTCAAACGTCATGGAGCGCTTGCTTGAGCTGTCGGACGGAGGCGGTGGGACGGTGTGGCCCCGATTGTAGCACAGAACCAACACCACGACGGCAGCAATCAGTGCCAGCAGAAACAAGACGATGACAACAGCGGCAATCCGTCGACGCTTTGCAACATCTAGCTGAGATCGTTCGCTCCCGCCGGGCAGTAGGTCTTTGTTCTCTTCAGTGAACGGTGATCGGTGGCCATTGCTGCCTTGCGGCTGACCGCCACTTGGAGGGCTGTCATCGACATGCAGCGTCATATCGCCTTTGTCCACCGCTTCATACGACATGGTGTTAGATGGTGATGAATGACTGCTTTGCTATGTACTGATATACACACTTCTACCATGCCAGGGTCGTCACAGGTACTGATATACACACTTCTACCATGCCGGGGTCGTCACTCCATACAAGCACATGGGCCAGTGTGTTCCTTGGACTAGTATTTCAGTACTACTGTGTGTGCATGTACTAGTACAATGCAGCAGGGTCTACTGTCTTCGGAAGATTGGAGGACACTAATCCACGCAGCTGATCTCATGCTGTGACAATACTGTCACTTGTGTACTTTGGAGCTGGGTAGCCTGCGTCCAAAGGTAACCAGAAAGCACATCGGAACACACACACATATACATTATACGTACATGTACATGCACACACACACGCACGCACGCACGCACGCACACACACACACATACATACACACATACACATACACACACACACACACATACACACACACACACACACACACACACACACACATACACACACACACACACATACACACACGCAAAAACACAGAATACGTGAGTTTCTATTACAGAAATATTCAGGCCTATTGGAGAATACCAATGCCCACACATACCCAAACCATGTTTAGAGGCTCACAATCGTGCATCGTCGCAAGCTCCGATATATTATGAACATTGTCCACCTCACCACATATCCAACAAGAAGATTTACCGAAAGACCAACCCAGCCCCGATCTCGCAAACATGTAAAGAGCGCCGCCTCCTGTGGCTGGGGCACGTTGCCTGGGAAGGACCAGACGCGACCTCTTACAAGGCACTGCAGCTAGCCCTCAATACTTCGGACATCAAGCGCCCCCGTGGACGACCCCACAAGAGATGGGTCGACAACATCAGAGAAGACCTCGAACCTCTGAATGTGCCGATTCGGGAATGCCTCAACCTCGCCACCAACAAGCAACTCTGGTTAACGATCATTGACAGATGCATGACCCCCATATGATTTGTTTATGCGGGCAATATGCGACCTGTTCATATTATTATTATTAATCGTGCATGACCAGATACAGAAACAGCGATAAGCGTGTCCGTCAGGCATGCAACACATAGATATACTGTAATTTCAATAATTTTCGGTGTACTTCTATTTTCGGTACTTTCGGTGCATCTGTTCCATACCTAAAATTTCATACACCGAACAAACATTACACACATAATCCAAACGGGGGACTGCTCCTCTGTAGCTAAATTTTCTGTTCACCTAACCTGGCCTTTTGCGTTCATACGGAGAATACAGACATGAAGTCATGAAGCCAAGACTCAGGAGCTTCATGCCCCCCCCCCCCCCAGGAGGCCTGTCCGAAAAATGTGTTTTAATTTGCGGAAAATGGAAATGCAAAATGCACGGTTTTCCAGCCAACATTCAAACAAGAAGTCAAAGGGAAATGTAAAAAAAATCAAAAAATCAAAGCCAAACAACCCAAAACGCAGAGAAAATGCATCCGTTGCCATGGCAACCAGAATCTAAAATGGCCGCCATGCCATGGTGATCACAAAAAATGTTCCATGTCACACTGTACATGTATACATCATGTAGTATCCCTGCCTTGCTAGTACATGTACCTCTAATCATGTCACGTGTACACGCACTGCATGGTCATAATCTTGTCTCCCCTTTTGCTGACATTGCCTGAAAAGCCTGCAAAGCTAATCATTTTCTCACCATTGCAAGTCACATGTGTTGCCTTACGCTTGCTGGATTGCATACTACCTATACCATGTATACTACACATGTACTCCTACTACTAGAACATAATTATCTTTGTTGTTTTTATAACACCTGCATGTACATGTAGAACTAAACACCAACGTGTTCCCATTTGTGTGATTAGGAGGCCAGTGCAACTAAGTAAGTCTTGTGTCTCAGCCAAGAGGGACAGAAGACACCGAAATAGCAAGCCGAACTTGACTTGGTCGAGCTGAAACCTTGGCTGAAACCTTGGAATTCGATCAAAAAATGGGCAAAATTCAGAAAAAATGCAAAAATGCAAAATGTACCCCGAAATGCAAAAAAAATTCAGAACATTTTTCGGACAGGCCTACCCCCCAGTAGTCATGAAGTCAAGACTCATGAGCTTCATGACCCCGCGTAGTAGTACACATCATAATGCTTGTCTTCTCTTTTTCTATTCTTGCCGTGGTTGGCTATCACCCCTCTCTCGCACTTTGCGTGCCAATTGGTCATGGACCAGGAGTTGAGTGAAATAAATAAAAATTAAAAATTACTCCACGTAGGGTAGTAGTACACAATGCCATCATAACCCTCTCGGTCTGGGTCTGAGGTCTCGGTCTCGGTCTCGGTCTGGGATACTGTGCATTTGTGTGCATTTGTAGTGCAAGTACAATGTAGCTGCAAATGAGTGTTGACAACAACAAACACAGTGTTTACATGTGATGATGTGTAGCGGTCCATGTCAACAAAAGAACTGAATGTAGTTACATGTACCAGTCATCACACTGTCTGTATGCATTCCCTGAACACTATCACACAAAGCATGCACTAGTATGATGCAGTACAGTGTCACGTCAACATACATGACTGTACTACTAGTACTGTCGTACAGGTTTTCGGCTCAGAGGCTAATCAGAGCCAGAGGCCTTGCATGCAGTGAGTGATTGCGAGGTCTGGTCTGATTATCAGTATGAATCCACTCAACTATTCCAGTTTCTAGCCTTGAACACTTGTGACGGATTTGTAGTCAGCGAGGGGTAGAATAAATATTAGGGCTAGAAAACAGGTTAGAAATTCTGGGTTTTCTTGCTGTCGCTACACCACTAGTGCACTCTCCATTATTCCCACTGGCTTTCATCTTACCCTGTGTCCAGCGATCCAAGAATGATGTGCACTAAACACACAATCGCTGTACCTGGCTGCAGCCTGCTTACATAACTCTACATTTTGACCCAATGAAATCTAGTACCTGTACTAGTAGTAGTAGTACTAGTAGTGACCAAGCCTATCGCCTAGTGCCAGAAGACGTCTGGTTAGATTATTATCAGTATGTTTCTCTTTGAGTCTTTGAGTCGAGTAGCGGAGTGCCGAGTGCCGAGTGCTGCCGATGCTCGACGATTCTAGACCAAGACCTCCAACATGCAGAGTGTAAAAATAGGACCAAGCTCTCCACAGCTCAGGAGGAGGCTCTGCCACTGCCAGCGAGCCCACATGACTGAAGTAACGCTAACACACAAGATAGAGCATTGCCATTGGCAGCAAGGGCGTGCTGCGTGGGGTACTACCAGGACGAGCATTGAAATGATGCGATGCACGTCAGTGGCACACACATGCGAACGACATCATGTGCACCATGTGTTTTCCACCAGGCCGGCCGCCCCAATCGACTTCGCGCCGGCATTGTACGACTGAAGGCCATGAAAACAGAGTTTTCACTCCATTACGACCATGTGTTAGGAGTTACGCAGCACTGGGTCTTACCTTCTGCCAGCAACAAGGCGAACGAGTAGCTACGCAAAGTAGCTAGTGCTGTTCACGTTAGCGAGTATCATGAACGCTTGCCGTCGCTAGGATAGGCAACGCTCCACCACTGCTCTTTGGAGTTTGTAGCGATGGTGTACGGTAGACTAAGCAGAAACTGCAGTAACACTGATGCTTCGAGTTCTCAGACTCAGGTAATGGTCGAGGAAATTTTACGTGTGACCAGTGTGGTGCGTGTTCAGGAAAGAGGCATTTTGACACTGAGCGCCCGCAGTGCACACGGTCAGCAACATCAACAGCTAGGTGTGAGGTGTTCTAATGCGAAGGCTTTCAGCACTAGCACGGCACAAACCTCACAAACCCTTGACAGCTGTCCGTCCATCAGTGTCATCTAGAAACTAACTAACTTTTTTTTTTTTACTTACTCCAAAATATAAAATTAACAGTATGTTCAATACATCGAGCAGCCCTCGTCCAAATCAAGCGAAGTCGACGGATAGGGCCCAGTTGGGGACACTGGCGGAACGGAGCGGCTCACATCCAGCTGAGCTCGGGTCTTTCTCAAATGGACTTCCGTACTTCCGCTCCAGTAGCACGCTACCGAAAAAAATAATAATTTATTGACTCGTTCTCGTAGATCTACCTAGTACATGTTACCTAGTAGTATAATAGTACTAACTAGTACAGTACTAACTGTACAGATTTTCCACCAAAACATTTTTCCGCGCAACAAAAAAAGTCATCTCTCTCTAGCTCTCTCTCTCTCTCTCTCTCTCTCTCTCTCTCTCTCTCTCTCTCTCTCTCTCTCTCTCTCTCTCTCTCTCTCTCTCTCTCTCTCTCTCTCTCTCTCTCTCTCTCTCTCTCTCTCTCTCTCTCTTTCCCCGTAGCTCTCTCCCTTTTGAAATTCGCTTCCATAGAATTGGGCACCATTGCTCGTTTGGCCTTGCGAAGTAAAATAAAAATCAACAACAACAACATTACTACATACGTACAGTGCTGGCAACTGAAATCCGACCCCCTTGGCGGCGCGGCGCGCCGCCCGGGGGGGTCGGATTTCAGTTGCCAGCACTGAGTGCGATCGGCGGGGGAGCAGAGTGCGTCTCTGGCAGTAGCTGAAGAGTGAAGGCTACCTTCTATTCCTCCTAATAATTAATAAATAAATAAGTGTAGGCCTTGACAGATTATGCTAATATTTTCGTGAAATTATGCTTTTCGCATTGCTGAAAAAAATGCAGAATTATGCTATTTTTATACTAAAACTTATTATTCAGTTGGTTAGAACATTGCTCGCGAATAGCAAGGTCCCTGGTTCGAGCGAGTCCCGGTGGTGTGACTGACGATTTTTTTCTTTCTTTCATATCTGGCTTGCAAGCGTTGAGTTTCGGAGAGAAAAGAGCAGTACGTGGCATGTGGCCTCTACTTTCCTAACAAATATTTTATTATTATTATTGGCAATACTTTTCTCAAGGTTTGGAGACTCCACTGTAGCCAATACTTGAATCCATACATCCTGTACACACACCTTGTACACACTCTCTCTAACGGTCTCTAGGCTACACTGCAATTGATATACATTAGCTCAAATTTTCGGGCAAGGCCCATCATTGTAGTGTAATGAGTAGCATCATGACAGAACTCTGTCCCTAGGCATATCAATGTCTGTCTCCAGGTTTCTCCTTCCTACTCCCTACACTCACTCGCATTGATCTAACGTGTGTACTTGTATAAGAACCGCAGCCTGCCTGCTGTGCCATTGACTCATGCATTCATGTACCAAGATGATGCCAAGCGGATTGGACTTTCCTTGTCAAGCAAAGTCCATCTGGAGGCGTTCCGTGCCCTTGCTGCTGACCGAAGCGGTTGGGTGGGCATCTGTGCCCGAGTGGTGTCCGCACCCTAGTTTTTGTCTTCTTTTCGCATATTTCTTCTTTTTTTGAAACTGTTATGGTCTTTTGTATCTATTCGAAGTGGCTTATGCGAACATTTTTGGCTGGTTTGCATGATTCGCATGCCCATTAATGCAGCTGCAGGCCATGCTGATGTCTACGCGAACAAGCACATAATAATAATAATAATTCATGTACCGCTGCACTTGCTGGCTGCGCATCACTAACCCTTCCCCTTCTATGCCACAGTCCCCGCATGCACTGAACGCAGTACTCGGGTGCGTGCGCGTGCGTATTCATGTCTGAGTGCACTGCCGGCCTCGGGCTCCATCTATAGTATACTATACATGGCATCCCGTACTGGGCACGCTGCTTCCGGTCGCTGCTGTGTGCACGCAGCACCGCCGTCCATTCCGCTCTCTGTCTTCTTTACACAGTGATTCCCGATTGGAATCACCGCTTCGTTTCTGCTCTCCTTACAGTTAGTTGTGCTTTTCCGTGTCCGATAATGTTCCCCCTTTTGCAATAAACAACCAGGCGAAACTACTCTAAGTAGCTACCGCTACATGGCGCAGTGAACAGGATCAGTGATAAAAAAATAACATTGATCCGCAACGAACCTGGTCTGCAACTTCAGGATCTAGGATGGCTCGCGTTCGACAACGCCGGCGATCGCGATAAATCTCAGGAAGTGGAGACGAAACTCTCGGCGTACGTCACGCCCGTGTCCAACGTCGTCCACGGACGAACGATGTTCGAACGCGACACACAGTCGCCATCCGAGACCGTGGACGAGTCACTTCTGCGTCGTCTCTACGGCGGCGCGGACAACGGCGATTTCAAGGACGCTCGCGATGGCCGCATCCGCGATCGCTTCACGACACACCACTGCAAGCCAACAGCTTACTGCAACAGCTTACTGCAACAGCTTACTGCAACAGCTTACTGCAACAGCTCACTGCAACGGCTCACTGCAACAGCACTGCAACGGCTTACTGCAACGGCTCACTGCAACGGCCCACTGCCACGGCTTACTGCAACAGCTTACTGCAACAGCTTACTGCAACAGCTCCCTGCAACGGCTCACTGCAACAGCTCACTGCAACGGCTCACTGCAACGGCTTACTGCAACGGCTTACTGCAACGGCTTACTGCAACGGCTTACTGCAACGGCTCACTCCAACGGCCCACTGCAACGGCTTACTGCAACAGCTTACCGCAACAGCTCACTGCAACAGCTCACTGCAACCGCTCACTGCAACCGCTCACTGCAACGGCTTACTGCAACGGCTTACTGCAACGGCTCACTGCAACGGCTCACTGCAGCGGCTCACTGCAACGGCTCACTGCAATGGCTCACTGCAACGGCTCACTGCAACCGCTCACTGCAACGGCTTACTGCAACGGCTTACTGCAACCGCTTACTGTAAAGGCTTACTGCAACGGCTTACTGCAACGGCTTACTGCAACGGCTCACTGCAACACCTCACGGCTACTCCCGCCGCAGCCGGACGCCACCAAGCCGTGGCGATCAAAAACGGCATGCCTGCTGCCGCCGAGCCCAACACAAGTGCCACCTCCACTACCTGTTCAGGTCGCACAGCCATTGCACCGGAGCGGCTCATCTCGACAATGTAAACATGGACCTGCAACTCTTTCCGTTAGGGGAGATGTGGTGTAATAAGTAACATCATAACAGAACGCTATCCCTGGGCATAGCATTGTCTGGGCCTGCAACTCTTTCCGTTAGGGGAGATGTAGTGTAATGAGTAGCATCATGACAGAACTCTGTCCCTAGGCATATCAATGTCTGTCTCCAGGTTTCTCCTTCCTACTCCCTACACTCACTCGCATTGATCTAACGTGTGTACTTGTATAAGAACCGCAGCCTGCCTGCTGTGCCATTGACTCATGCATTCATGTACCGCTGCACTTGCTGGCTGCGCATCACTAACCCTTCCCCTTCTATGCCACAGTCCCCGCATGCACTGAACGCAGTACTCGGGTGCGTGCGCGTGCGTATTCATGTCTGAGTGCACTGCCGGCCTCGGGCTCCATCTATAGTATACTATACATGGCATCCCGTACTGGGCACGCTGCTTCCGGTCGCTGCTGTGTGCACGCAGCACCGCCGTCCATTCCGCTCTCTGTCTTCTTTACACAGTGATTCCCGATTGGAATCACCGCTTCGTTTCTGCTCTCCTTACAGTTAGTTGTGCTTTTCCGTGTCCGATAATGTTCCCCCTTTTGCAATAAACAACCAGGCGAAACTACTCTAAGTAGCTACCGCTACAATCATCAGGAATAAGTTTACTGTAGACAGAACAGGGCTATATATATATGTGACAAGTACTAGTGGCCAAAGTGTGATGGTATAGCAATACCACAGGAAGCGAGAATATTCTGTGTGATATGTATGAAGTGAAAATATAGTGCAGTGATAGTGCAAGATTACTAGTGTGAGTACAAAGCAGAAAAATACACACTTCTAGCAACACTCACGCACATACATGTACATACATACATACACACACACAGTGCACACACACACACACACACACACACACACACACACAGACACACACACACACACACACACACACACACACACACACACACAGTGCACAAATTCTTGCACAAATTATGACAGATATATTTACACGTCACCCAACAGTCGCCAACCATTGTCACTGTTCACTGCCGGCTTCCTCTTCCTCATGAATAGTGCCTCCATGATTCTGCGGTCAACGTATGACCGTTGCCTGCTGGCGAGAACTTGTAGATGGGAAAACGGCGAGAACCGCGCTGACGATGGGAAGGTGTGCTGCTTTTGTCGATAATGGTCTCCCCATGGCTTTCCCAGTGTCGCGTTCTTGGCTTGTCTGTAGTGCTCCTCAGTCCTCTTGCGTGTTGTGTGTGTGTGTGTGTGCGCACTGTGTGTGTGTATGTATGTATGTGCGTGAGTGTTGCTAGAAGTGTGTATTTTTCTGCTTTGTACTCACACTAGTAATCTTGCACTATGACTGCACTATATTTTCACTTCATACATATCACACAGAATATTCTCGCTTCCTGTGGTATTGCAACATTTTACGCTATACCATCACACTTTGGCCACTAGTACTTGTCACATACATGTATATTATACATGTAAACCCCTGTTCTGTCTACAGTAAACTTATTCCTGATGATGGGCCTTGCCCGAAAATTTGAGCTAATGTATATCAATTGCAGTGTAGCCTAGAGACCGTTAGAGAGAGTGTGTACAAGGTGTGTGTACAGGATGTATGGATTATTGGCAATAAATAAGATAAATTGTGCACTCATAACAGCAGCAAAAATGAAGAAAGTCAAGTTCCAAAATCGATTTTCACGTTCCGATCATCAGTGGAAATACGGAAATAAAGAGATCAAGGGAAAAAACAAAGGTTAAAAATCCAAAGAAGTGTGACACATGAGGTAAGGACAGTGGCACGGGACAGACGTAGGAAGGAGAACATGGATGGTATCAGACGACTGACTGGTGGTGAATATGAGTTGGGTGATGATGCGGCGGATGACGAGAATACAGATGACGACGAGGCGGATGACGGCGAGGATACAGATGACGACGAGGCGGGTGATGACGAGGCGGCGGATGAAGACGAGGCGGATGACGATGAGACGGCTGGTGGTGATGGTGATAAAACGGACGAGGAGGAGT